GTTGTAGCTTTATGCTTTCTGTTAATCTGGTACGGCTGTATTCATGCAGTTTATGACAATTTAAATGCAACTGTTGCGCCCTCTAGTGTTCACAGTCTCAACAACATGTTTCTTTCACCACAATACACCAGTGTTTCCCAAAGCTGGGGTCGGGACCCACAGTGGGGTCCCAAAATATCAAGGTGGGGTCCTGAAAATTTTTTCGGTATTYATTATATTTTTGCCTTATTGTTACAAAGGAGTTAGTGTATTTAAAATGGATAACTATACAAAAAATATTGTTACTATGCCCATGTTTAGTTGAACTGATACAAATGTTTATCATCCAAAAATAGATGGGGGCACGAGTTTCTGCTACTGTTATTTTGTGGGTCAAAAGCTGAAAAGTTTGGGAACCACTGCTATACACCACAAGCTAAGGCTACACTACATTTCTTAGTGGCTAGATAGATAAAGTTAGTTAGCCTGCTTAAGCTACTGAGACCTACAACTGATTTTTTTTTTTATTTTACCCCACTTATGCTATGTTTTTTTTAAAGGCAAACTGCCAAACCCTGACTCATAGTGTCTACATTTTCATAGATGGATATTGTGTATTTTTTTAATGAAAACTGGCTCCCAGCCACATTCAGGTGTGGGGGAAATAAAACAACCCCATAGCAGCCTAGTAGCAACTCAGTATTAAAAAATAAAATAAATATAATTTTGATGACAAAATTCTTGATATAAATGTTTGGTTGACAGCTCAAGGAGAGGAGCACGTGGGAACCCAGGAAAGACAGCAAGGTGAACCAACAGGTTAAAAAAAAGAACAATAAAGAACATTATAGATTGTTTTTAACCAGCTTTTTTGGGGCAGACATGAATTATCAATTTACAATGCAAAATATTGTGCTTAGTGATTTTTTTCTGCAATGGGCAATTTTAAGTGGCAATGAAGTCCATAACTCATTTAGAATTATTTTTGTGATATTTATGAATGGAAATTGTGTACAATTTATTTATTTGAAGATTACTTTGTTGTCATTCAGTACAAAATGTAAGAACAGAGAGGGTGAACAAAGTCAACAAGAGGGGAAAAGAGACAGAGAGATGAAAGGGACAGAGCAAGACCTGGAAGAAATAGGTGAGATGATAAGCTTACCTGCTCAAAAAAAAATAAAAATAAAAATAAAAATAAAAAAACAGAAGTTCAGTCATGTCTACTGCTTGTTGTTCAAACACGGGAAACTGTATTTTCAATGAGACTTGACTTGATTTCAGTGATTTTTTTGCACTCGGTTGAAAGCGTTTCACAGCAGTCAGATATGACCATTTCATTCAAACATTTAGTGTTCTTGTATTAAAATTAAATATTCTTTAATAATGAAATTGATAGCAATAAAAGCTTTCTATTATAACATTTCTGGGACCACTTGAATATTTCCGTCAATGCATTGATTTGGTCTCATTACTAGTGGTCTTAAAATGTCTTAAATTTAACTTACTGAAACCTGCATGAACATTGCCATTCCAAAAATTAGTAAATGTTAGCTTTATATTTTAGCTGAGATTTAATGTTTGCATTCAGATTTACACATTTAGATTTAGGATTTAATATGTACACATACAATTGAACATTTGTTGAAAATGTGTAAAATGTTGAAACAGTGAATTAAATGTTGCTAAATGTTGTGAGATAAATAATGAATACATGTTAGTGACATTTTATTTCACGTTTGGCGCCCTGTAATCTATTTGTTTTGGCCAGCAACCATTTAAAAGTATGGTTTCATTATATGGCACCACGGCTTGCCATACAATGTGTCGCCTAGAACAGCCCAGCTGAGCGGTGACGTCGTGACGCAGCCTCAGCTGGTATTTAAAAGGCTGACAGCCGAGCTCCCGCTGGAAACTTTCCAGTCAGAGTCTTTCAGAAAAGCTTGCAGACCCCCACACCGCCCCCGTCACGCGCCATGTCCACCCACAATAACAACAACAACAACAACACGGCGCGTGTCACCGCGGCCAGGAGAGTCGCTATCTTCGGCGGCACGCACGGGAACGAGATGTCAGGCGTCGCGCTCGTCAACCTGTGGACGAAGAACGGCGCCGAGATACAGAGGAAGGGTGTCGAAACCAGACCGTTCCTCGCCAACCCGTGGGCTGTGGAGAAATGCGTCCGGTACGTGGACACGGACCTGAACCGAGCCTTCACCCCGGAGAACCTCAGGTAAATGGACTCAGCGGAACAGAGAGAGGGAGCTGCTGTCAAAACAACTTTATGTTCTGGATYTAAAGCAGAGGAACAAAAACTGCCCTGTGTTTGTGTGCGGCACTGTATGTAAATAACAGCTTGGTACCCTGAACGCAACATGACATGTAAACATTTAACCCATTAAAGGACAGGCTGTGTGCGTCCTCTAAAATGAACTTGCGCTCTTCGGTTTTACGTCACGTGTTTTCCCATCTGTGCGCTCGAATGGCAGGTTAGTGTTTTAGGTCCAGTAGCCAATGAGAGCAGAGCCCCGTGTCCCCGCCTCCCGGTCCGGTCTGCAGCTCACAACCCACAGCCGGCAGGGAAAACGTGACCGAGCTGCACAATCACTTCTTGGTTTTGTTGACAAAAGACGTCTCACGAAAAAAAAAAGAAAAAAGAAAAAAAAAAACGATGGCTCATGATATGCACGAGGCACGAGATATGGTTATGTGAGGTCCCAAATCATCTGRCCCATCTAGTCTGATCAGCTTCATTTTAAATCAAATTAATGTTGAATCATTTCCATCTACATGATCTAGAATGCAAATGCATTCYTACAAACGGAGTCCAGYTCGCTTTTTCAAGGGAGGCCTGGGCCTGAAGGCAACCTATTGTACATGTTTTTGGGATGTGAGGGAAACCAGAATACCTGGAGAAAACCCATGCATGCACYAGGAGAACATGTAAACTCCACACAGAAGGARCCCAGYTCCAAACCAGGGATTGAATCCAGGACCTTTTTGCTGTGAGGTATCAGTGCTAACCACTGCTGAGAATAATGTAGAGTGGTGTTGGGTCTCCTGCAATGCTTGTTGGTGTCCAATATGAATGGAGTGAAGCATAAGTGATCTTCCCAGCTGCCTCATAGTTCTCTCACCTACTCAGTTTTGCAGCTGGACAGGATGATCTTTGTGCCTCATGGCGATTGGGGCTCTGGCTCTTCTCAGTTCTTGACCAGTGATGAGTTAATGGTCCTGGAGAGGTCAGCTGTTTATGTCCACACCTAAGAACTTAAGCCCCTTCTCCACAAGTGTGCCTTTAAGCAGTTRTCATCAKTTCAGCATTTGAGAAATGTGTCTCCATTTCCAGTTTCTGCACGGCACACCAGCCGTGGTTCKTGGTGAGTCAAGCCAAGTATTGTGCAGACTGCTGCCTGTGGATTGACTGAGCCAACTTGCAAACTCCTCTTGGACAGAGCTGACAACCTTTTATTTTGAAGACGAGTACAAACAGCTTGAGCTTGATGGAGCAGTCAGAAATGAGAATGCTGGGAGGTTTTGGACAAACTGTCCACCCATGGTTACACACAAATTTATAAACAGAGCCATGACCAAAAAATAAAAGTAATAATAAAAAAGTCAGCTTATCGACCAATAACACTACAGCAGTCGAAGTCGCCCACTAAAGATCCACTCACAATCACTGGGATAACACTGTGACGGAGACACACCTTCATTTCAAAAAAATCAAACAGAACCAAGAAAGTCATAGGGAATCAAAGGGCACTGAACACACATCCCTGAGGGTCCCCTGTACTCAGCGTGATGCTGCTGAAACCGTTATTGTCACTCTGAACTGACTGTGGTCTTTTTTTTTTTCTTTTTTTTTTTTGGGATTGATCATGACCTGGATGACTGAAAGTCTTCACCAGATGACCGTGGTCTTTCACTCAGGAAGTCCAAAAATCCGGTTTTACAAATAAACAATGCATCAGTACTAGTATTTGAGTAATGCAACAATGGAATAATGAGTCAATCTTMTATTTCACACAGTCTGAAGAGAGAAAAAACAAGACTTTAGTTGTATTTATACTCTGCAGAAGTGAAAAACTGTTTTTTAATCATGCTTTTGCTGTATCATATCTTGTGATTATTCACAAATTTAAAAATGCAAAAATAATGTGCCAGTGAGCGCTCAGACTGTGTGAGTGAAGTGTTCTGTCCTCAGCCTGCAGATGTTGCTTGGATCTTTAAAACCCTTTCAGCTTTGCTGATGTTTGGTCTCACTGCAGGCAARGTGTAGAGGAGATTAAAGGCTCTTTCTAAAAAAAACAGCTTGTGATATTTTGGTTCTCATCTCAGATGGGCTGACAGCTCTGCTTTTCCTCAAACTCAGCACCTGTGTTTCTCAGCTGAAGATGGTTTGCAGGAGTCCACAGATGCTCCCAGCATGCTCTTGTGTAAGACTGTCCTAGGGGTCCTTATAGCTTGAAATAATTGCGGGACAACGGGGTCTAAAGAGCAGATGTGAGTGAGTTGAGGTGATTTWATTATTTAATTCTGCTGTAGCTTGGAGAGTGTTTGCACAAATGATTGGAATGGAGTAAGGAGAAGAAAGATMGTCTTGTTTTGTGTTTTTAGCCTGACAATATACAGCGGGTAAAATAAGTATTGAACACGTCAACATTTTTCTCAGTAAACATATTACTAGAGGTGCTAATGACATGAAATGTTCACCAGATGTTGGTAACAACCCAAGTGATCCATACATYCAAAGAAATCAAACCATAAATGTCCAGAAATGAAGTTATTTGTAATAATGTGGAATGGCACAGGGAAAAAGTATTGAACACATGAAGAAAGGGAGGTGTAAAAAGGCATGGAAAGCCAAGACACCAGCTGAACTCTCTCAGTAATTAGAAAGCAAGCCTGCCCCTTGTCAGTGCAAGTTAATATCAGTTGGTTCAGTCCCAAATGATGGCCAGGTATCACACAAGAACCATCTGGTGATGGGTAAAAGTAAAGAGCTCTCTCAAGACCTTCACAACCTTATTGTTGCAAAGCATAATGATGGCATCGGTTACAGAAGAATGTCTAAACTTCTGAAGGTTCCAGTGAGCACTGTTGGGGCCATAATTCAGAAGTGGAAAGAACATTATTTCACCATAAACCGACCACGACCAGGTGCTCCTCGCAAGATTTCTGACAGAGGAGTGAAAAGAATTATCGAAGAGGTGTCCAAGAGCCAAGGACCACTTGTGGAGAGCTTCAGAAAGACCTGGAATTAGCAGGTACGWTTGTTTCAAAGAAAACAATAAGTAATGCACTGAACCACCATGGCCTGTATGCACGCTCACCACYCAAGACTCCACTGCTGAAGAAACAGCATGTTGAAGCTCCTTTAAAGTTTGCTGCACAACATTTAAACAAGCCTGTGTAATACTGGGAGAATATAGTCTGGTCAGATGAGACCAACATTGAACTGTTTGGATGCCAGAATACACATCATGTTTGGAGGTCAAATGGCACTGCACATCAGCCCAAAAACACCACACCAACAGTGAAGTTTGGAGGTGGGAACATCATGGTGTGGGGCTGTTTTTCAGCATATGGTACTGGCAAACTTCAAATAATTGAAGGAAGGATGAGTGGAAAAATGTACAGAGACATTCTTGATAAAAATCTGCTTCCATCTACCAGGATGATGAAGATGAAACGTGGCTGGACATTTCAGCAAGACAATGAGCCCAAACACAAAGCCAAGGAAACTCTCAGTTGGTTTCAGAGAAAGAAACTAAAGCTGCTGGAATGGCCCAGCCAATCACCTGACCTGAATCCAACAGAAAATCTATGGAAAGAACTAAAGATCAGAGTTCATAGAAGAGGTCCACGAAACCTTCAAGATTTGAAGACTGTTTGTGTGGAAGAATGGGCCAAAATCACACCTGAGCAATGCATGCCACTAGTTTCTCCATACAGGAGGCGTCTTGAAGCTGTCATTGACAACAAAGGCTTTTGTACAAAGTATTAGATAAATTTCAGTAAGTGTGTTCAATACTTTTTCCCTGTGCCATTCCACATTATTACAAATAACTTCATTTCTGGACATTTATGGTTTGATTTCTTTGTATGTATGGATCACTTGGGTTGTTACCAACATCTGGTGAAAATTTCATGTCATTAGCACCTCTAGTAATATATTTACTGAGAAAAATGGTGACGTGTTCAATACTGATTTTACCCGCTGTACTTACAAGTCCGTCAATATAATTCTACAAACCACATTTTATTGGACAAGATAGAACTATGTTCTAACAATGTACCTCCATGTGTGTTCCCATAGTGCACCAGGAGGTGATGAGCTGCCCTATGAGGTGCAGAGAGCCCAGGAGATCAACAAGATTTTTGGACCCAAAGGAAGCCAAGAGGCTTACGACGTGATCTTTGACCTCCACAACACCACGTCCAACATGGGCTGCACTCTGATCCTGGAGAGCTCCAAAGACAGCTTCAGTCTGCAGATGATGAATTACATAAAGGTGACGGCTTCTGAGAACAAAGTCTCTCTGCAGTCTAACAGGGGGCGCWTTATGTGATAGCCCACCTTTAAGAGTGGTGCGCACTGATAAAAGAACAAAAAGGGTTGCACTGAAACTGCAAACGGCAGCCAGAATAGTAAATGTTGAAAACGTTTGCCTCCCTTGAACAAAATCTAAAAATAAAACTTTTTTTGTTTTTTTGTGGTGGGGGGGCTGTATCACCTCAGATGTTTGAGGCACAGAAGACAGATTTATATTTGGCTCTTTGAGTTTACAGAATCAAACTGTTACTCAAACTCTTAATGCGTAACTATGTTGATAACTGGTGAAATGACAATAAGCTTTTGTTATTAAGCATTTTTTAATGTTATAAGCAATTAATTCATTTTTTGTCATTTTTAATAGCATAAAACACTTTTAGTGTCCACATTTATGTGGACTTGCATAACATACGCTCACACTGTAGGTCATGCACTGAATATGAGCTGGAGGTGCAGAATTTGAGAGTTTTCCCTCTAATTAATGGGTAAAATAATTTATATAATGACAGCTCTGACTTTGGTTCAGTTGTAAGTGGTTACAAAGTGTTTCACAGAAGGTGGAGATTTACAGACGAGGCGAGAAGTTTGCATCATTCATTATGAGCATGAAGGTCGTTTATACTGTATATTTAAGGCTTTTAATGATCAAATTGAATTTTCACKTTACAACACAGATAAATCATTTTTAAAACAAGAATTAAATACTCGTTAAGAAGTCTGCGATTTTAGTGTAGCAGAATATTGGCATTTGTTTCATTTGCAACCAAGTGAGATTTTAGTTTAGGCAGATTTCTTGCAGAAGAAAGTCAGAGTTTTGTTCAGGATTTTGGAAAGAAGAACTGCAGCTCAGGATTAAACATGAGGATGGATGATTAACTTCAGAAACCWCCAGTTTAAGACGCCTCAACAAACTGCTGTTACTGACTGATTGGCTGAGGTTTATTTTTCTTCTGATCATTAAGTGTCTCTGAGTGAGATGGAAGATTTTAAATAAGTTACTCTGTTCTGGGTTAAAGGCAAATATCTGTGAACTGATTTTTGAGTTAGGAACCATTGCAAAWGCACTAATGTTAACCTAAATATTCAGCCAATCATCATTCTCCTGTTTTTGTCATTTAAAAAACAACTTCTTATTCCTAGAAACGTTATGCTTAATAAACAGCTAATACATCAAAACATAAAGTGTTTTTGCCAGGGTGTCGGTCACTGCTGTTGGATTTTTTCACAATTTCACTTGAACTGCACAAAGTGCACAACCAAGCTCTCATAGACTTCCATTGTTTCTGTGCTCAGATGTTTCCTTACAAAATTGGACGAGAACATGRTATCTCCTACAGAAAGTTCAATAAACACACAAAAAACAGATATTTAAGATGATCAGACACTTCTGCCACTCATAATTCACACATTTTTTTAAATTCAGCTTGTAGTTTTTATGCTGCAGGTGCTGGTTTTTGAGGTTTAATTTCTACTTTCCCGTTACGTCTGCTGGCCCTATTGACTGTGTGATGACCCTAACAAGCCGCCGGCAGCAGCTTTTAATATTTCTTTTGATTCTCATTCTTTTTAATACGGTTTTTACATTAAAATGTTGACATGTTGTAAAAACAGAGGTCTCCTGCTCAGGTCAAAATGACCAATAAGGTCTCAGTTTTGCCACTCAGGCCTCATGAGTCATTTTGACTCATCACCAACAGGAGAGTTAAGATGAATTAGCCTCCTTTTAAAATTTAGAAAATAACTTATTATTATTATTATTATTAGTAGTAGTAGTAGTAGTAGCAGTAGTAGTAGTAGTAGTAGTAGCAGTAGTAGTAGTAGTA